CCCCAAAACCCCAAAACCCCAAACGACTTAAACAGTTTCTTTTTATAGTATAATTTCATAGGAAATATTCTTGTTGATATAATAGAAAATATGATTTAAAATGATGTTCACTTAACTCCTACTAAGGTGATCAACTACTAGAATTCCAAAGGAGATCAAGTAATGCCAAGATTTTCATCAGTCACTAGAAACGATATTAAAAATCTCAGCTATTAGCAGACAGATGACAAGTACCAGGAATAAGAATAAGAAGAGATGAATGAGTTAAGAGAAAATGAGTATGACTAGCTTTTTAGGTCAAGAAATGAATATGAATCTCTCTGTATTATATGGTCCAACTCTGTACTCCTCAGCAACCTATATAATTTTACAACTTGTTGTTATTTCCTTGGAATTGCAGGTTTCCCTTTTGAATACTGGATATATTGTGAATTCTCAGCCGAAGTCATTCTAATTTTCGATATTTTATTGAGACTATTATTTACCATCTAACTGAAGTAATAATGGATAAATATGGGGCTTATTCATGATCAGAATTAAGATAAATCACTTCAAAAACTTTACTATTTTATAAGCTCAGTACCTACTTCCATAATTATATATTCAAGCTATCCCAGAGAGGACCTAAATTAATTATGGATTGCCTTTATCAGAATTTTTAAATTATTCCGACTGAATCAGTTCAGCCAGTACTTTGATAAGAGAGATATTCGCACAAAGAGAAACTCCTTCTTAAGAACTGTTGAATCCATAATCTAAATTCTTATGGTAACTCATTTACTTGGCTGCATTTGGCTTTTCGTAGGAAGGGTAGATCCAAATTAAAGTAATAATTGGCTTTCACTTGAGTAGTATGAAAGATTTGGAGCACCAGACATTCAAAAGTACATTGATTCAGTTTTTTTTGTTATATCATCAATGACTGGTCTGGGATTTGCTTATATATACCCCAGAACAAATTTAGAGTACCTAATGTAGAGCATTATCATGGTAGTAGGAGTGAGTACTTATGCCAATTTTTTCGGTTTTTTCGCAGTTTCAATCTACAATCGTAACAGGAAAAGACTAGAAAATATGCTCAGACTCTAGGAATCTAAAAATTTGGCAGTTCTTAGAAATTTTCCTATTGAATTAAGAAACGATATCAGGCATTTTTATAATGATTTAAGACTTAGATACGATAACTTGTGTGATAAGTTCGAGATTCTTTAGGAGCTGCCAAATAGTTTGAAAAGCGAGTTATCCTTGTTTATAAATAGCGAAATAATTCAAAAAGTTAACTTCTTCTAATTTGCTGATCCAGGATTCATTCTTACTATTTCGAGATTACTGAAACCTAAATTAAGCCTTTAAGATAACTATATTTTTTACAAAGGAGAAGTAGCTACTAAAATGTATTTTATCAAGAGTGGAATTGTCCAGATTTTGGCGACTGATAATAAAACAGTTATAGCATATATGAGTGAAGGAACTTATTTTGGAGAAATAGGGGTTTTATTAACATAAAAAAGAACATGCTTTGTCAAATCAAGAACTGCTTGTGTATTTTTTACTATAGGAGCATCTGATTTAATTTAAACTTTAGAAAGTTTTCCTATTCAAGATAAGTTTTTAAGAGCTGTCGGGAAGTAAAGACTTAAGACAACAAATCCAGAGGATCTTATAGAGAAAGACAGAGATTTTGAGATAGCAGCATAGGAGTAGATTTAACTTTAGTCTATTGACAGTAAATCTCTAATGGGTAACTTGTTTGAAATTCAGAAAAAAGACCAGCACATTGTTTAAAAGGAGCAAAATTTGATGATTCTCAATAATTTAAAGACAGAAATACCTATTAAAGTTAAGATCTACCTTACTAAGGAATACAGATACATTCCACACTTCATCATTATTCCTTTCTCATTGTAAAAGTTATTATTTTATTTTAATATAGCTTGTATTATATATGGACTTCACTTTTTACAGTGGCATTTGTATATCACCTGCTCTATGTTCCTTTCTCAATAGGACTGGATTATGAAGTTGAGGGTGAATTCTATATTATTGATATAATTGCCTTATCTATTATGATATTCGATTCATTATTACGTCCATTTTTAGCTATCGATAAGTAAGAAATATCAACAAATTAACAAATTTAGATCAACCGAAATAGACATTAATAAAAGCAGAATCCTATCAATTTATGTTTCAAATTACATGCTACACGACATTGTAGCCTCAATACCTCTTGATTACTTGTTATTATTAGTAGATAATACGAGGCATGCTAGACAATTTTTTAGGCTACTAAGATTATTTAAGTTCTATAGAATTAGAGAAATCGTATCATTAGTAAGAAAGCACACAAGTGTAGATGAACCTCTCTTCAGAATATGCCTTTTGTTCCTGATATTTATTATAACAGCTCATTGGTTTAACTGCGTCCTTATCTTCATAGCTATTAGAGAAAGCCAGGCAAGTAATCGTTTTGATGGAAAAAATCTTCTAAATTTTATGGTTGAATTACCTTACTCAGTTTAGCCAAAACCTGATAAAATGACCAAATGGTAATTATATTTCAATCTAATGATTTTGTGCGTATGTTATATGGGATCGATCATGTATGGGGACATAATCCCATTTACAATGAGTGAGGAACTATTAGGAATATTTCAAATGATCTTTGGAAGAATGTTTATTTCTTTCTTGTTCGCTGAAATTTCAAGTTACGTTTCTTCAAAATACTCAACTTTCAATAATCACATCTAAACAAAAAACAGAATCACAAAATGGATGTAACTTAATAACATTGATTAGTAAATAAGAAAGAGAATTATTAAGCATTTTGATTTCAAATGGGAAAACCAAAAAGGAATTGAAGAATAAAAAATCATCAAAGATTTACCTGCAGATCTTCGAGTCAATGTAAAAAATTACATTTTTAGCAACCTGATATCTCATTCAGATGTATTTCCAAAAGATGATCTTGGATTTTTTTCAACTGTAACAGCTAAACTCCAAAGAAGGATAGCACCAAAGAATGAATTCATCATTAAATAAGGAGAGCTGGCCACTGAGATGTTTTTTATTCTTAAAGGTGAAGTAATTGTTGTCACTGAGGATGGTGTTGAAGTTGCTACACTAAAAAAGTACATGCATTTTGGAGAAATGGCTCTTATTGAAAGAAAAGTTTAATTGAGAAGTACATCAGTAAGAGCCTCAACAGATGTAGTCTTAGCTGTTCTAACTCAAAAAGATTTTGATCTTATTTGTCACCACTACCCAGAATTCTATAATCAAATGCAAAGAATCGGTGAAATAAGGTTTAAAGACTCTCTCTCAAAAGGAGTAATAATATCAAATGAAAGAAAAAGTAATGTTGAAAACAAGTAACTAATAAGATTTTTGACATAGAAAAAATCATTTGCATTGAAGAAAAATAATAATAGTAGCAATAAGAAATAGGATGATGACTAGTTATCAATGATTGAGGAGGAGTCAAAAAGAGAATCAGATTTGCAGAATCATGATTAGGGAAAAGGAAGCAATAACAATGATCAGAGTCTACTTAGTGAAGATAGTTCATTAAGGGATGAAGCTGAGGAAAGTTAGAAACTTAAAATACAAGAAGTTTTGGATGGAGATTAACCTTAACTTTAAATTAAAAATAAATCAGTTGTTAGTAGTAGTACTAGCAATATAAATACAAATAGTTTAGATCGCAATAAATAGCCAAGATTATCTAATGAGCCTTAAGAGCAAAAATAAACCCCAGAGATATATCCAGGAATTATCTAATTATAGACTATAACAGAGAACATCACAACTGAGGCGTTTAATACAAGAAGAAATACCATAGAGATAGAATAGGATGGTTTTGTTAAAATCTGGGAAGCTCCTAAGCTTTTGAGTAGTGTTGGTGATTTAGGTTAATACTTCAAGAATGTAAGAGGTACAACTAAGAAAATTTACAGAAAAATTGTTGCAATATTTTTAGCATAAGCTTTGAGACATTTTCTTCTTTTTTCTCTTGTGCTCTACAATATAATTTTCATACCTTTGCAGATGGGATTCAGCATTAGATTTGAGAAGCAATACTTATTTTTAGAATTGATTACTCTTTCAGTCTATTTTATTGATCTTGGCATCATTGCTAGGTCTATTAAATAACTTGCAAAACAAAGGAATCCTTCAAGTGTAACGCCAGCTGGTGTAGAGTCTTAGTCTAAACTTATTCATGATTAGGATGAATTGTCAAGAAGACTTAGATTTTTGAAATTAAACTTTATTTCAACCTTAATTGGAGTTGTACCTTTTTCTTGGATTTTCCAAGATGTTACATCTCCACTATTTCTTATAAATTTTCTGAGAGTATTGAGACTTGTAAAGATATGGCCTTTCTACAGAGTGATTCAAATCTTCAAAAAGATCAATGTCAATTTTGTTAGGTGGATAGAAGTGCTCATCACATACTATATTGTAGGCCATATTGTAGCAGGAGTTATGTTAAGTGAAGCTTTAACTACTGAAGATATAAGAATGACATGGCTAAATAGATTACCTTCTCCATTGTCATCTGGAGTGAGAACAGAAAACAATCTTGATGGCTTAACAAATAGTTCATTATATATTCACGCAATATACTTTGTGACAAATACCATTTCCCATGTGGCTATTGGAGATATTACTACTGTTAGTACTGATGAGAGAGCTTTAAACTCATTCATTGTCTGGAATCTTACATTTTTTTATGCTTTCTGTTTCGCAAATATTGCATCAATTGTTGGAGATTTTCTAGGCAATAATTTCCTTAACTTTCATGAAAAGTTCAGTAATGTTATGTCTATGATTCCTTAAGATAAAGTTCCAAAGTCAATTGTCAATAAAGTCAGTAGCTACTATGATTATATATGGGCTCATTCTCAGGGGTACAATGAGACAACTGAGATATTTGGTGAACTTCCAACATAATTAAAGTATGATGTAATGATGTGCAGATATTAAGAAGCCATATAAAACTCTTTAATATTCAAAAATGAGTTTGGTCAGATTGATGTTCCTATGGTAAACTCAATATTTGAGCTTATGAAAATCAGAATATACATGCCAAATGAGTTTATAATAAAATGCGGAAGTTATGGAAGAAGTCTCTACCTATTTTTAGATGGGGAAGCCTTGGTATTTGGAATAAACAATGAATTGCTTTGCATCTTGACTAGTGGTACTCACTTTAATAATCATATGGGCGATATACCTGAATACGATTTTGAGGGAAAGAGACTCTGTCATTTGATTGCAAAGTCATTAACTATTGTTGGAGTTATAGAGGAAGATTCTGTAAAAGACTTGTTTGAAGCTTTTCCATACTGGAAATTAGTAATTACGAAACTGAATAGATCTCTTTAAAAGAGAGCTAGATAAACTCTTTAAAAATATATGCAATAAATTGGTGCTGATCCAAACCAAGTGAGAGAATTAAAAGCAATAGAAAATGTAAGTCACTTGTCAAATAATTATTGATTTTAGCATTTAACATACAGTGATGATAGTGTTTATGAAGGTATACTTTATAAACTTGAAGATCCCAAGCATCGTTTTGTCTATTAAACTGAATCGGAGTTGTATAAACGCTTTGACTTTCTCCAGAACTAAATCAAAATATTTTAATAGGAAACAGGAATCATGCATGTCAAGAGGACGCCAGAGACATCAAATGATGGGTCTATTATTGCTAGATCTACACCTTCAATGGGTAGTTATCAGTTTAACTACACTTTTGAGTCCTATCAAAGAGGAGGAACTAATCAAATCAATAAGTGTTGCAGGAAAATTTTCTTCTCTTCACACTCCAAATTGAGAAAGCTATTGGATCTTTTACACTTATTAAATATGATTTACATTGCAATAGCTTTACCATTGCAGATAGCTTTTATAGATTAAATGAAGACAACAATTATTCTTGAAATAACTAGCATCCTCTTACAGATATTAATAATTTTTGTGAATTTTAGAACTCCTATTATCTTTAGAGGTGGGTACTCGCTCGATTTTAGATTAGTCCTTAGAAACTATTTAAATAATGGACTGGTTTACGACTTATTTGGGATATTACCTCTAAACTGCATTTTAGGCTACTTCAACATTAAATTTCCAAATATAATCATAGTCTCGATATTCAGATTACTTAGAATCATTAGTATTCAGAAGTTACTTTATGTTTTCGAAAAATTTGAGATACACTTAAAATCTATGAACATTTTTATGTATATTGTTAAGACTATTTTAATTCTGTATCTACTCTGGCATTGGACAGCATGCTCTTGGTTTTATATAAATAAGAGAATTGAGCCTGATTTGTATGAAATGACATGGTATAAAACATTCAGAATGGATGAAAAAGAACTGATAGACTAATACCTTTTGAGTTTTTATTATGTGATTAAGATTGTTACAGGAGTTGGTCAAAGTGATATGATAACTTATAACGATCTCGAAAGAATTTGCTTTATGATTATGATAAATATAGGAGATACTTTATTTGCTTTTGCCTTTGGATTGATCGCCTCTATTTAGATGCACATATCTTAAAACAATGAATTCTAAAAATTCCTATAGAAAATGAAACAGATAGATGAATTTCTTGAGTCAATCAACTTTGATAAAGCATAGAGCAGAAGAGTTGAATAATACTACTCCTACAGTTTTTACATGAAAAATAAGACAAACTTGATTGAAACGAAAGACTTAAAAGGTTATTTGCCGTATTGTCTTCTTAAAGATGTAATCTATTACTCACAAAGAGAAATACTGATACCAATGTTTAGATTGTTCAAATCAGATAATCTAATCAGAGAAGTATCCTCTGTGCTTACGAATTTAATATACATGCCAGGCGACTACATTATTTTTAAGGATTAAATAGCTGAGGAGATGTACTTTATAGTAGAGGGTTAAGTTCAAATTATAGCAGCTGATAAGTAAACTGTACTTAAAACCCTCAATAAAGGCAATTACTTTGGAGAGATAGCTATTTTCATGCATACAAAGAGAATATCCTATGTCTAAGCGAATACATTCTGTGTAGTAGCAATGCTAAGGAAAACTGACTTAGATGATATAATCATAAATTTCCCTGAAGTTGCAAAGCAGTTCAGCCAGGAAGCCTAAAAACGAATCGACGAAACAAAAGAGCTAGAAAAAAAGAAGTTAGCTGAGTCTGAAAATTATGTAGATGATATCGGCGATGATGACTAAGAATTAAGTTTTATTGAAGCAATCAATAATAAACTTGAGAACTCCTATTACACTATGTAATCTGATTAATCAAATGCAAGTCTAATGAAGCAACTTAAAAAGAAGAGCAACAATATTGATGATCATCAGTTGTTGGCCTAACTAAGCCCTAATAAGGAAGGAAGTAGCAATACATTTTTCGATAGAACTGGTAGAAAAGGTCCATAGATTGTTGTTAGCAAAATGTCGCTAAAACAGTAAATAGATCATGCATGGAGTAGCTATACTGAGGAATCTAAATAGATAAAAGAGAGTGATAATGAAAGCAATAGTTCTTCAAATGAAAACAACTCACACAGCATCAGTAGGAGTAAGAAATCAAAGTAAGACTACAATATCAATATTAATATCGAGCGAGATTCTGTCACAGCTTCAGAATAGAACGATGAAAATAATATTGAGGAACTTAAATTGAATTTTAAGAAGAAAGAGAAGCAAGAAGAACCGTTATCAAGTGTTCCTTCTCATGCCTATGATATCTCAAGTTCAGACAGCGAGAAGTCTCATAAAGATAATTCCCATAACAACAGTATCAATGAGATTAGAAAAGTTAGACTCAGACAAAACAGTATTCTAAGTCCTTTGCCTAATATGAATAAACATAAAAGCTACAATAAGTTCTAGCAAGACAATTTACTTGCAGATAAAATGCTTCAGGAAAACGATATTGAGTCAAATAGTGTTGCCACTCCCAAAAGAACAAAGTAATCTATTAAGCAAAGAAGAAATACTGAGATTCTTCCAAACAGATTAGCCTTTGAGTTCGGAAAGACTAAATTCCAGTCAAGTAATAAACTTGGTAAAAAGGAGAGTATTAAAAAAGAACCGCTTCCAATGGAAATATTCAAAGTCTCGATAAATAAGAAAGAAGAAATGGAAGCCAAAATGGAAAAAGTCTCAATCAGAAGACTGCCTGCAAAAACAAAATAGAAGAGAAGGCTGAGCAAGATATCATTGGGCAAAAACTTGATGCTAAGTTAAACTGCTGGACTTAAACTTTAGTGGACTGTTGGAAAATGAAGACTAATTATAATTATTAATTATTATTTAATTTCATAAATTAACAGTTACAATAAGCTTATTTTCTATTTATGGGGTTTTGGGGTTTTGGGG